TCCATCCCAAGCACCCACACAGTGGCTCACAGCTACCCACAGTGCCAGTTCCATGGGAACCCAGCCAGCACACACATGGTGTACATACATGCAAGCAGGAAACATGTTCATAAACATAAGAAAGTAAAATAGGTAAATCTAAAAATAAATTTATAAAAGGGGTTTTGGAGGAAGATGACTCATCAGTTAAAAGCACTTAACCTTGCAGAGGACCTGGGGTCTTCAACTCCCAGCATCCACATGGTATGATTCACACCCATCCATCTTCTAGGGCATTAGATGCCCTCCTCTGACCTTTGCTGATACCACACATTCACGAGGTAGAGACACACACACACACACACACACACACACACACACACACACACATACATACAGGCAAAATGCTCACATATAAATAAATAAAATGGATATATCTAATAAAAATGTGAAGAATTAGTGTGAAATGGATCAAGGACTTTAATACAAAGGCCGAAACACTGAAAGCGCTAGGGAAATCTTGTAGAAAACACCTCAAGATATAGACAGAGGCAAAAACTTTCTGCTAATAACCCTAACAGCTCAGTGCATAAATGAAAGCATTGACAAGTGGGATTACATGAAATTAGAGGCTTCTGCACCGCAAAGGAAACACCAGTGGAGTGGAGAGTGAGCCTACAGAATGGGGTAGATATTTGCTGGCTGTACTTCAGACAAGGGGCTGGTGACTAGAATATATAGACAAAACCAAACCCAGCACCCTCAAATCTTCTTACCAACAAGTGGGATAATAAACTGAACAGATATTTCTCAAAAAAGAAGAAACAAAAAATGGCCAATAAACAGTTAAAGTGGTGTTTATCATCATTAGCTAGCAGGGAAGTGCCAATTTAAACTACTCTGAGACTCCATCCCACCCCATTGAGAATGGCAACATAAGAAAGCAAATGACAACAAAGAGTGTTGAGGATCCGGGGAAAGAGGAACTCCTGTCCACAGCAGGTGGGAGTGTATTAAGACTGGAAATCAGCATGGAGGTTTCTCAAATATCAACAACAACAACAAACAAGCAAACCAACCTAAAAATAGAACTACCCGAAATCCCAGCTATAGCACAGACCCAGAGGATTCTGGTTCTATTGCATTCCAACATCCATATTCATTGTTATACCATTCACAAAAGTAGCAATTGGAACCATCGGCCGATGAATGGATAAAGAAAATATGGTACCTATGTGGGTAAAAAGATGTTAAAGAATTTATTAGTGCCCCCCTCCCCGTGTGTGTGTGTGTGTGTGTGTGTGTGTGTGTGCGCGCTGCACATGTACGCATGCATGCATAAGCGGAGGTCAGAGAACAACCTTTGGGAGTGGATTCTCTCCTTCCACTGTAGGGTTTGAGGATTGAATCTGTGCTGATTTGGGTGAGAATGGCCCCCATAGTCTCACATATTTGATTGAAAGACTGTTTAGGAAGGATTAGGAGGTATGGTCTTGTTGGAGTAGGCATGGCCTTGTTGGAGGTGTGTCGCTGGGGCTTTGAGGTTTCAAAAGCCCGAGACAGGCCCAGTCTCTCTCTTTCTGCCTCCATCTTGTGGGCCAGATGCAAGCTCTCAGCTACTGCTCCAGTGGGTGCCTACCCGCCACCATGCACCCTGCCACGGTGATCAGGGACGAGCCTTCTGAAACTGGAACCGGGTCTCCAGTTACCTGCTTTCTTCTACAAGCCGCCTTGGTCCTGCTGTCTCTTCACAGCAATAGGACAGTAACTAAGACTAACTGGTCTGGGCTGGGGCTGGCCAGTGGTAGAGATTTTCTAGGATACCTATAACATCCCAATTCCCTTCCAAGCACATATGGACCCGCTGTCTGCCCTGCACTTTTAATGGACCTTTACTCACCAATAATCCCTAACTATGTGCATCTGCCACTCAGGAAACACTAGTTTGCCGAATTAAGCAGACCTTCCAAATTTTGATTTATTTCATTATAAAACATTCATGATTTCACAGCCTCTAAGGCATAAACTTTGGATGCTACAGTCTTGTAATTTGGTACTTACGAGGAGTTCCTGCAGGATAAGAGGTATAAGTTGTAAAATATACAAAGGAGCTAGAGCAGATCTGAGTTCATTTCCCAGCATCCACAAAGTGATCCGGGCTATAGGATGCCCTCTTCTGCCCTCCGTGGGCACCAGGCATGGGCACAGTACATGTGCATATATGCAACTAAAACACCCAGACACATAAATAATAAATAATACAATTGAAAAATATATAAAAATAATTCAGGTCCTATGTTCTATGCTATACAATTGTAATCCCAAAGTTTAGTAGGTGGGAAATATGAAAGTTGGAAGCCAGTCTGTGCTACACAGATATTTGTCTCAGAAAGAGAGGGAGAGAGAAAGGAGGGAGGGATGGAAGGAGCAGAAGGTAGGGGGAGGAGTAAGAGGTGGTGGGGAGGAGTGAGGAGTCGGGGAGGCTTACACTCTTAAATGCTTCCATACTCAGAAAAGTTTTGAGGCACTGGGCAGCTATCAAACTCATGACATAAAGCATCCTAATTTTCTAGTGTTTCACTTGGAGTCTTGGATTTTATCATTGGCCACAACACTGTCAGCTGGCTTTCTTGAAACAACAGGCCTGTTTTGTTCATTTTTTTTGAGACACTGCCTGCCAAAAACCCACTCTGATGTCTGTCAGTCACTCTTTGATGGCAAATGCTGTTCCAAAACAAAACAAAACAAAAAAACCCAACAAACAAACCATTTGGTTTGGGGCCCCAAGAATCGCAGGCTTGCTTTTTGTCAAGTCCACTGTCAGTTCCCAGCATGGAACAAAAGTGACATTGATTCTTTCTGTCTTATCACACATAATGGTAACATGTCCTGCTCTCCAGAGTCAGGGTTCAACAATTTCAAGGCTATATCAAGGGAATTCTGCAGTGACATTGGCTCTGTCTGTGCAGAGCATGGCTTTGAAGACGACACCCGGCTAAGTAGAGGTTTGCTGCCACCCTTGTTGACAATGGCACAAATGTCAACTCAGTGAAAAAGGAGAATCTCTTCTGGGCATCATTCTAGATTTCTCACTTTGAAGATTCCCCAAAAGGGTGTCAGGAGCCCCAGTGGTCCATAGACCACTAGAATGTCTGCTCTAGTGGACAGTAGTCTTGAAGGCAGCCTAACCTGTGTCTAGTAACAGGCTTGATTTGACATCAGCTAAAGTTGGCCGCTGTTGCCTTTTACCAATTTCCCATGTTAAAAGGCCATTGTTCACAGTTATTTGGATCAAAATACTTTAGGGATTCTAATATGGGACAATTTATAAGTGAGCCTTAATTAGGACGAATGAAATGTCACTTCACTGAACTAGTTTAGTGTTTATGCTTTCTATATTCTTGGTGTTAAGTCAATGCCAAATAATCACATCTACAGGTCATAAATTGTGGCAAGAGGAGAGAAGGCTGATATTCATTTTTATGTATGTATGCCTATTTCTTTGTGTACTACCTGTATGCAGAGCCTGGGGAGGCCAGTAGAGGGTGCTGGGTCCCCTGGAACTGGAGTTGTGTGCTGCCTCGTGTAGGTGCTAGGAACTGGACCAAGGTCCTTTGCGGCTCCATTTCCCCCTTGTGGATTTTCTCAGGGACCTTATTATGCTCGGCTCTGTTATTCTTATTAAATATTAAAAATCTGCTATTCATGGGTTAAATCTTTCCAGCTAAGACGACTCAACCGTGAATGTCCATCCCTGTTGAGAGGCTTTAACTTGAGTACACCTGTGTTCTATTACGTTGGAATTTCTTCAACAAATTACAAGGCTGTGGCCCCTGAAGCTTGTTTAAGAGAAGGCTGGAAAATTATGGACCTCATGCCCAGATCTTCAGGGAGTCTTCTGTGTGTATTCTGATATGAAGACAAAGACTCTCCATTTGGAGTTCAGAGTTGAAAGATCTTAACCATACGATTTTTCTTTTCTTCCTTCCTTTCTTATTTTTTTTGGGGTGTGTGTGTGGGAGTCTGGGTCTCACCATGTAGCTCTGGCTGTCCCGGAACTCACTATATAGTCTAGGATGGCACTGGACACAGAGATCTGCCTGCCTCTGCCTCCTCAGTGCTGGGATTAAAGGTGCGCACTATTATGCTGAGCATATGATCTAGCTTTATCTCTCATCCCAATAGCGTGCTTGCAAGCACACATTGCACATAGTGCCTGATGGGCAAAGACTTCTGGGAATTTGAATGTGGTTCATTCCCCCCCGCAAATAAAAATTCATCACTCTGTGGATGGCAGACAGCTGTTAGGTGGCCCCAATGCTCCCAGCTTCCTGCTATTTCCATCACTGCACAGTCTCAAGTGTGGAATCTAATGAATTGGTTCAGGAAAAAGTGTGGGGATGTCACATCTGCGATTTTGTCTTCTATCTTGCTCGCTGACTTAATTGCTAACTGGGCTTGAATGCTTTGAAGATGCCAAATTCGAGATGAGAGAACTCAGGACAACTTCTGACAGACAGATGGTGGGTGATGGAGGCTCTGGTCTCGCAGCCCGTACAGGGTTCAGTCTGCCGGGAAAAACTTCCTGAGCCCAGAGACAGATACTCGCCCAGGTGAACCTTGGGAGGTCTTAAACTTAACAAGACACCTTGAAACCTCAGAGCCCAGATAGACTTGGGTCTGGGATAATATATGCGGGCTGCTGTGAGGTACTACGTTTTGGGCGAGCAGATACAGACAATGAATACATCCTTATATTTGTCTGTCTCTCTAGCACGACCAGAAATGAGCCGTTCAAAGTCTCTTGGTTCCTGGTCTATGTGTCGTTGGGGAGTGCCTTCCAGATCGTCCTGGGGTCCGCTCCAGGACCGCACTCAGCCTCAATTCCTGGGCTCCCAGAAGAGAGTCCATAGCTGTTTTCCACTCCAGCGTCATTAAGTTTATATGCCAGAGACAGCACGACAATCAATTACACCTCGGAGTTTGAAACTTGAGGCTGGTCTGGAGAAGGTGTTAGTACTTCCAAAGGTGGGGACACAGAAAACTAGTTCACCAGCAGAAGTGCAAAATGTTTGTAAGCTCCAGGTGGGAAACCTGGGCTGCTGTGAGCTGGCTCTTTGCGTGCTAAATCCGGTAATGAGGACAAGAGAATACCTGCTTCTAGAGGGGGTTGCTGGATTGAATGAGAAATCGCGCGAGCCGCTCAGCTTTTCGCTCGGAGCAGAGGGAGCCAGGCCCTTAGGATTTCTCCGTGGGGTCTCAGGTCAGGATCAGCCTGGGGCCACCCAGGGGCGGAGCGCAGCGGGGACCCGGCGGAGGTCTGCCCCGCCCACGCGGGGTCGAAGCCCGTCGAATGACTCGGTGCAACGTGTTGGTGGCTGCTGCGGCGGCGGCGCGGGTTCTTCCGGGCTCTGCTGCTTCCTGCCGAGCACCGCGCAGCCGCCTCGGCCGCGGGAGCCCCCGGCGCAGGCCTCCGGGGTGCAAGCCTCCGGGGCGCAGACCTCCTGGCTTCAAGTCTCCCGGGCTCAGGCTTCCGGGAGGCAGACCTCCGATCGTGCGCACAGCTCGCCATGAGCGCCCTGTCGCCGCCGCCGCCGCCGCTGCTGCTGCTGCTCGCTCTCCTGGCCGCGCCCGCCGTCCTCGCTCGCACAGCCGAGTCCGCCTCGGCCTTACAGCTCGAAGCGGAGCAGCAGCCTCCGCCTAGCCTGGGAAATGTCACCCGGCTGGGATCTGGCGTGGCGGGCGGGGGCGGCTCCAACAGCAGCGGCAACGCAGTGGTGACCCGTATCTCCAGCTTGCTTCGCGACCTGCCCACCCTGAAGGCTGCGGTGATCGTGGCGTGCGCCTTCAGCGCGCTGCTCATCGCCTGCCTGCTGCTGCGCGTCTTCAGGTGGGTCGCGTCGCCCCGCTCCTTGATCAGCTGGCTCGGCTGGCAGTGTCGCCATGCCGCTGCCCCCACGCGCCCGCCGGCCCCACCTGCGCGCACAGGTGCTCCGTCTTGGCGCGCTCCTGCCAGACGTGCACCTTTCTGCTCTCCCTGCGAGGGTGGGATCCGGAGGGCGGGCGCGCGCTTTTGGTTCTTCCAGGTGCAAATTTCAGGAACCGTTTCCCCCTTTAAGGCTGTTCGGTATGTCCCAGGTCCTCGATTCCACTGCTTTACTCTCCCTACTCACGGTTTACACCAGCATTATCACTCTGAGTTCCGACCACCTTCCGCGGAATTTATATTTATGCCCACTTTACAGACGAGGTAACATTCAAAGAGGGGTGGCTTACACAGGTACTCAGAGGAGGAGGGGCAATTTGGAGTAGGGTTCTCCTAACATAAACCTCGCTCCTGTTCGCTCCATATGACCTGCAACTCTCTCTCCTCACTCCTGCTATTCGCCTCTTTTCACCTACAGAAAGCAGAAGGGGAGAGATTCAGGGACGCACCTGTTTTATACCTGATTTGGTAATAGGTTTCAGGAGGTTTAGTGACTCTCGACAGCTGCGGTGACTTTCCATTGCTTCCAGACTTCTGAGTTGTCCCTGTGCTCATTTACAGGGGCCCAAGAGGGACTGCAGGGAAGGTTTGTAGGTTGTTCAAGGCCAAGGAGAAAGTGTCCAGGAAATTTGGACGATCCCTGGAATAGTGAGGTGGACAGGTTCACAGGGGAGGTCAGTTGGACGTTTCTCTGGAATGCTAGGGAAATCCTGGCTTGTAGGAAAAAAAGCCAAATACATCCTGTTATTCCCGCCAGCCAGTCAGGAAATGTGTGTGTGTGTGTGTGTGTGTGTGTGTGTGTGTGTGTGTGTGTACTGACCCTCTGTCCCATCCACACTGTTTTGATGGTGATGGCTACTGAAGATAGGGCAAAGGGCTTGCTCCTCTGGCGAACATCCGGCAAGAGCAGAAATTAGACCTGGGAAGGGCAGGGTTGGGGGCTATGTGTAGAGGGGTGCACTCAGGGTTGTATGATGCTAGGTCTGGGCATTTCCCTTGGGGCCCATGTGATGAAATTGAGAACAGAGAAGAGGTTCTCCAGGTCCCGTGTTCCCTCCCACTTCCCGTGTTGGCACTCCCCAACCTTCCCGCTCCCCTCCTTCCTCTGCTGATGGACTTCACTGGCTCTGTGTAGCCGCAGCTTAGGCATGGGATCACCTATGTGAGGTGTTGGCTCAGGTCACCTTGTATCCCTTAACCAGCCCTTACCTCTTGCTTTGTCCTCTCACACCCATGGCCCTGGATTGTGCTTTTCTGTCTCGAGTCGGATTTGTACTCTACGTCTTCCGAGACCGCATGCTGGACCCTGGGTGGTTGCCTCGGACAACCGAACGGGGTCCTTGCTTTCTTCCCTGGTCTCTCCAGCCCTAACCTTTGGTCTCCTTCACTATACGGGCTATCCCACCGTGCTGGGTTATAGTTCCCAGACTCAGGGAAGAGCCCCAGAGGGTGAGATGCCCAGTTCGTCTCCGTGTTCCTGGGTCCGGCCTTCAGCTGAGGCAGCAGTGTCTTCCACTGACTTCTTCATTGTTCACTTGGAGTCGGCGAACGCCTAGAGCAGTTCGGAGCCTGGGGGTTTGAAGCATTTAGCTCAAAATAGTCCCAGCCCACACAGCTGTGTACTTTTAAAAGAAGGCATCTGAACTATTTTGCCAGTCTGCTCTTTATTACCCAAGAGTGGGGTAGAAGACAAGGCATCGTGTGGCCAGATGTGGGGGACGGGGGTGGAGGGGACAGGCTTGTGAGTTTAAGTAGGAGATGTGGCACTCAGGCCTGGAAGGGAGAGTCCTTGGCTTGGGTGTGGAAGGAAGGAGGGGACCACCTCATAAAATAAACTGCCTCTGGTTCCGATCCGTATCCTCTTCCTGGGAAGGCATGCTTGTTAGTTGAGTCTCCAGGCCTAGTGCCGCCAGTCTGGATTCTGATGTAGACGGGGTCTGTAGCGTTTTACCGCAGGGAAGGGCCCTGATGGTACCCGGTGCCCTAGTGTTCTTTTGGAGATGTTGCTCCTCAGAGTGTGGGGCGAGTATTGACTTATAGAACATCCCCCAGCTCTGTGCGGCTAAAGGGGGGGCTGCACCTGGACTCTGCCGCTTGGTGCTCTGTTCTGTGGCTGCTGCCTGAAGTCACGTTCGCCTGTGGGCCTGATCGACTGGGCTTCCAGAACATCTGGGCTGTTGGCTGGGCGCCTTTTGTACCTGCCCACTTTCTGTCTCTGTAGCTTGTAGGCCCCGAGTCCTGGTCCTCTCGTCACCTACAATGCCCAAGACCATCTCACTTCCGTCCAACCTTGCGCTGAGGAGGTGGTCCCACTCATCGCCACTTTTCCATGGGTTTCACCGTCATCTCTCCGGGTCACAATGATGCTCTTTAGGCTGGGGTTCCTGGATGAGCCCTGTCCCTCTGCACCCCATCGGTCCCTTCCTCTGGAGTGAGGCTCTCATTCTTTGATCCTCAGCCTCCGACATGTAGTTCTTGGATCTGTGGACAAGGCCATCTCTTCATGATTGCCATCGTGCCTTCTTCTCCCGTCTCCATTTAAGCTCTGCCCAGTGCTCTGCTGCCCTGGGCTGTGCTGTGCTCCAGGGCTCTCTAGTGGCATTATGTGGTCCTTTATGGACTTATTTATTTTTGGATTGGATTTTTCCAGTTTCTCCTGTGCTATCCAGTCTGGTAGCCATTAGCCACCTGTGGTTATGGAGAACTGGAAACGTAATTCTTTGATCTGGGAGGTGCTGTAACCACGAGATACACATGGAATCTATTAAGAGATGCTTGTCTTTTTTTATTTTTTGCTAAGTCTTTGAAGTAATGTTATTTTTTTCAAATTTGCAATTTTGATGTATTGGGTTAAATATATTAAAATTAGGCCTGAGGATGCCCTTCAGTGGCCCATGCCTGCTTGTGTGCTCTCTCTCTCTCTCTCTCTCTCTCATACACACAGACACACACGAGCACACACAAATTTGAACACACGTGCTCACACACACGAGTACCAGTGAGCATGCACATATGCACAAGTGTCTGAAGGGTTTAAGCCTGGCAGGCTGGCCTCAAGATCAAGCAATCCTCCTGTCTTACATAGGGTTTCTATTGCTTTGATGAAACAGTGAAAGAAAGCTGGGGAGGAAAGGGTTAATTTGGCTTACACTTCAGCATTGCTGTTCATCCTTGAAGGACAGTCTGGACAGGAACTGAAATGGGACAGAATCCTGGAGGCAGGAGCTGATGCAGAGGCCATGAAGGGTACTGCTTACTGGCTTCCTCCGCATGGCTTGCTCAGCCCACCTTCTTATAGAAGCCTGGACCAGTAGCCCAGGGATGGTACCACCCACCCCCACCATGGGCTGAACCCTCCCCCACTGATCACTAATTAAGAAAATGCCCTACAGCTGAATCTGGTGGAGACATTTTCTCTACTGAGGCTTCTCTCTCTCTGATGACTGTAGCTTGTGTCAAGTTGACACAGGAAAAGTAGCCAATATACCTCCCATCTCAGCCTTCCAAGTGCTAAGGTTAGAGGCATGAGCCATCATGTTTGGCTCTAGGTTTTCATGTATTTATGGAGGCTCTGGTGCCGTGTAAAACATACCACAAACTCAGAAAGTTAGAGGGGACAAAAACCCTGATAAAACAGGCTGAGCATGAGCGTCGATCTGAGCTCATGGTTTCAGTGGTATCTGGGCCCCAGTGCTGTGGACCTGTGGTGAGGTAGAACATTATTGCCAGGAGGTCGGGGTGGAACCAAATTGCTCACTTTCTGGTCACTGGAAAAAAGAGAGAGTGCCCGAACATGTCCCACTCTGCCCCTTGTCTGGATTCCCCTGGGACACCAAGTCTATACGACTAGCTCATTGCTGACCCTCTTGTGTTTTTACCCGGGAAAACTCCCTGGTCAGGCCCCCTTCCCTCAAGCTCCCAGAACACACTTGAGTTTTGAATTTCCTGTCCCTCTGCATTACCAGGCTGATGGCTGCCAAGGGCAGGGCTTCCATGGCTCTCTAGCACCTAGTGTCATTCCAAGAATGGGCTGGCATTTAATAAAGATATTTTTAGCAAAAGAATGTTGAACTCCCAAGTATTTTACATTGTTGACGACTCTCCAAGTGTCCCCTGTGACTAGATGCATGGTCCATGCGGGATGCCTATGGGGTGGGAATTTGGGTGGTACCTGTTCATTGTCTTAGCAATGCAGACATACTGGGGAAGAGAGTGTGGTATCATTGCTGTTAAATTAACACTCCCTCCTGTCTGTTTCCCCTCAAGGTGTCACCTTGCTAGACAGCAGTAAAAACATGGATCCAAGGAAAGAGTTTCATAAAAGGGAAGACCCATGTAGTGAAAACCAGGGGCTTTTACTTACGCAGCCAAACTGCTGAGGGCCACTTGTTTTTCACTTGGATATTCTTATTTTGATGCTAATGATTAGAAGGAGATGATGAAATGCATACAGCTGGGATATCCACAGCAGTTTCTGTTTCCTAGTGAGAAATTTTAAATAACTTAATTAAGAGCTGAGTGTGGTGCCCACCTGTAATCTCAACACTGAGGAGGCCGAGGCAGGAGGATCATGAGTTGGAAGCTAGCTGGTACGCAGACGCAGTATGACCTCGTTGAAACAAAACACAAAAACCAAGACACATTCAGCAGTTGACACTGTTTAAAGGAATATGGTAGTCTGTGATGGGTCAATACTGAGTGGCAACTTGACAGGGTCTAGAATCATCTAGAAGATGAGCTTCTAGACATGTCTGTGATGGAGTTCCTAGACTGGGTTTGTTGAGGTGAGCAGATACACGTTAAATGTGGTCTGCCCTGTGCCATGGGCCGGGGACCCAGATGGAGTGAGAAGGGGAGACTGAGCTTGGCATCAGAGTTCACATCTTTCTGTTCCTGACTGCGTG